GTTGAGATGAATTTTAGTTCATTTTCTTCAACTGTAAGCATGACAAAAATACAAAAAACTCGAGGGAAAAGTGTAACTAGAGACCAGTTGGTTACTGGTAACCGGTTACTTGGTTAGAGGGGGAGAAAAGTAACCAAGTATGGTTACTATAACCAGTTACTATAACCGGTTACAAAATAACCGGTTACTTGCTGGTTACATTGAGAGGGAAATTTGAAAAGAAAGTAAAGAAAGTAAACAACAACTTTCTAAATACATTAATAGATGGCGCTGATAAAAGATGAAAAATTAAACTTTTTATTTTTGAATTTGGCGGTAAGAAATTTGTAACCAGCAAGTAACCGGTTATTTGTAACTGGGGGTGAAAGAACCACAGTTACTGGTTATACTAACCAAACTAGCCTGTAACCGACGTATCTCTAAGTGTAACTTTAATTTATGCTTGCCTGCCATCTATCGCTATTAAGAGAATAACACTGCTTCAACAGGTGTTTTCATCGACTATTAATCACTTCGAATTAAGTTTTTCATGATTTAAATTTAGATCTACAGTGATTGTATGAATGATTCTGCCGTTATTTTTACCGTAAATTTTACTTTTTGCTGCTGTTTTTATTTTTACTGACGATCAACTTTGATATTCCTATTTGGATTTTCAGTTATCTGTTTTGTCATAACTGGCAACTTGTAAGATGCAAAAAATACTTACAATCTCTCGTTGTTTCTGTTCATCTTGTTTCCTCTTCATTTCGAACATCATTTTTTCCTGTTCAGCACGTTGTTCCTTTCTTCGTGCCTGACGCTCTTTCAACTTTCTCAGATCCTCTTCTTCCTTAGCCCGTGTTTTCTTCATTTGTTCAATGTATTCAGCCCACATGGCCTCTTCTTCTTCTTTCTTTTTTCGCAGTTTCTCCTGGATTCAGATTAGTGAAAAAGTTGAAATTATGGTGAAATCAGGAAAACAGAAAAGCCAGATGGAGAGAAAATAGATTGAAAGAAAAGAAGGCAAGGTTGATCAGTATTGATGAACTAATGGTTTAGTTAAAAATTGGCCAACATCCAAATTCTGTTCAAACCTAATCGTCAACAAAATCTGTGCTTATCAGCAAAGATTTTTAACAAGTTGTTAAACACACAATTGATTTCAACGGTAGGCTAAACAGTTTTTGGATTACATTTAATTGGCTGTGCAGTTTATTCTAATAAATCCAACTCACCTCCATGGCCATCTCAGCTTCAGTCATCTTGATTGATATAATTAAACTACCAAATGGAAAAAAAAGAAATAGTTTGTGAATTTCATTTCAAATGGTGAAAATATTTCCACAGAGCTAGGTAAGAATTGACTGATGCTCAAATAATATTTCAATCAACACTTCATAATTAATCCATGGCAGACTTATCTCCATGAAAATTACAATTGCTGGATGCTGATACAGTGGTAATCAACATTACCATTGACTGATGTAATTACCATCAACCAGGCAATTTAAGGATTTGGAAATGTTTGGAAACTATTTTAAAACCGCAATCTAAATGAGATAAATATTGATTACAAGGAAACAGCAATCAGAGAGCCTTTTCTGTTTCTGTGTCCATAACTCAGACTAAAATCCTAAATCAAATGACATGGATTGGCTGGATTCAAATTAGACAGTTAAATTTTATCCAGAGCTGGATAAAAGTTCCTAAAGCAAGATTCCTGCAACAGATAGTTTTGAAAACTCTTTTTAGCCCAATGTAAGAGGGGAATCGGTACGAGTGGAGATATAAAATTCTCAAGGGAAGGAGAGCAGAGGATGAAGATGCTGGAAATGTATCCTAAATAGATTTCTCATCTCTTCTTTCATCATCCTTTCCTGGCTTATTAGGATTGCTTGAATGTTTAGGCTTTAGGCCAAAAAACCTCTAAAATAACGAAAAAAAGAGGCACTCAAAGCTGAGGAAAAATAAGATATTTATAAATTGAAAAGGTGCTCATATTAAGGGTGTTTGGAATAATTTCTTGAAAAAAGGTGGAGAAAAGGAAATGATAATCTTGCATTTATACAAATTATATCAATCTAAATTGATAAACTTTCATCTTACCTAAATTGGTGGACAGATTTATGGACACTCTAGATCGACTAAATCTTAGGCTAACTATTTAACTGAAATCTGATCATTTTAGGGGAAAATGGTTCAACTTTTTCTGTAAACAAAATTTCAGCAAAATTACATTAATTGGCTGAGCAATTGAAGATTCTGAATGTTGACTGAATTATGTTGGAAATGATGACTTTCTTGAAAATTCAAGTAAAATCTGGAGGAAATTATGTTATCACAATATCACCTTAAAAAATCCAGTTTGTACCTTGGATTAACCATGTTATAAGAAATGATTAACCAAATTGATTGGAAATAACTGGTGTTTGTTATTGTCTTATATTGTTAAAGTATTGTGTCAATGGGATTTTGTCGATCAATTGCTAAATATTATCTGATTCATGATCGGATAATCTTAATTTATGATTGACTTATGATTTTATGAAAAAAATATTTTCACTTACCTTTAGTTATTGATTAATCTTGGATGTAAACGTTAATATTGAAATGTAGTTTATCTTTGGATGTTTTGGTTCTCGTTTTCAGACGAATAATTTGAATACTATTTTTTGTTCCTTTTTGTTCACTCGTAAATAAAGGATTATAAGGATGAGATGAAACGAAAAAATGAAAAATATGAAAATGAAGGAGAAATATAATTAACTTGATAGACGTTAGTCCCAAGTATTGTGTTCAACTAAATTAACACACATTGAATGAATCTAACTTTCTTCTTCTTCTTCACTCTCCCTCTCTGTTTTCATCTTAATCGTCATCATCTTCTTGAACTATATTTAGTTGAGTTACAAACTCAGGCTCTTATTCAATCCAAGATTGTGAAGCCTTTTTTTTTCTTGGCTTTTCAGCAACATCATTTCCCTGCTCAAAGAGGAGGAAATTGAGACCAATTTTTGTATGATTGTTTTGCAGGCAAATTTCACCAACTTGATTCAGATTGTCTTAATTTCCTAGATAATATTGTAATGAGCGAATTAAACCGGCCATGAAGTTACTTTTAGTTAGCATTTTGTATTGGTTTTTGTTTATTATTGACAGCTTGAGCCATAAAGGTTACTATGAGAGCAACAGTTTGGACAATTATTATTGAAGTTCAGCAACATGGAATCTTCATAACTGTATTTGACATTGTTATCTGTTAGAAATTGTTTCCTTGATTTTATTGGAATCACCGAACGATTCAATCCCAAAATACTTGCTAAGGCTTTTGACGCTTCTTTAACTGTTTGAGTTTTCCTGATTTCCTATTTGATTAGCTCATTTGAGTTGATTTTAGGCAATCAAATTATTCATTGATAGTAACTATCAATTGTCGTTATAAACATATTGCTTTGGTTTGCTTCAATGCTATTGACAAATGGAAATAATTTCCTATTTACTTTGTTTATTTCAACATTCAGCATTTCCAATAGATGTTGGAATTCCAACTACATTAAAAATCGCTCCTGGCCCATCATCTGTGATATGCAATTTGATAAATTTACTTTGTTAAGGCATAATCGTACAAATTTGTATTTTTCTTTAAACAATTCGTATCAGATTCAGTCCATGTTATCATCATTACAAATACATAACCATTTACAAGTGAAAATAATGGACAGAAAGCAAAATAGGAAGCAAAGTGTGGGGTGGAAGCGATAGAGAGAAAGGGAAAGAGAGTAAAAAGTTATACAATCAATTGACTTTTGCAGATTAACCTTACAAATTATTAGTTAAAATTAAAATTAAATTAACATTGTACATTGTAAAATTGACAATAAAAGTAGGCGATAGATAAGAAATTTATTAAATTACTTGTAGATAATTTTTCTCTCCTTCTTTTTTTTAATTGTATGTATCAAATTCGACTTTGTCGTCATACTTGAGTGAGAGATATATATATAAAGAAAGGTAGAGGAAGGTAGTAGTGAGAAGGTTGGGGGAGGAAAATATTCATTTGATTGGTGAAAGTGAGAAGTGAAAAAGAAAAGTAACTGATCTTGTTTTGCAAATGATGTTACAATTTCCTTATTAACAAGGCAGATCTATGAGCATCATTCTGCAAAGAAAACATGATTATGTTTTACAAATAGTCGCCTATTTTGGACGTCGATTTTGGCTCAAATATTATATCTGGTATGCAATATGTGCTAAAATAAATACTATTAATTTAACCGAAGAATAGATTAGGTATAGCGAGATAGAGAGAGAAAGGGGGATAGAAAGTGAAAGATATTGAGAAAATAATGAGAAGGCGTGAAAATTGATTTGTTAGAGTGGGAGAGAGAGAGATTGAAAGAGTTCGAGAGGAGGCAGAAATGAAAAAGATAGATGAAAGGATGAGGCACTATATTGGAAGTAAAACATCAAGAATGTAAAGGGTAAAAGGAGGAAGTAAGAGGGAGGTTGGGGGAGAGGAAAAGTAGAAAGTGGGAGAAGACAGGGACAAGTGAAATCGAATAACAATCAAATTGACGATTCATCTCATGGCCTAGATGCATGCATAGCTTACTGACGAATCTGCTTCACTTAAATAACGACCTAGAAAAGAGATGAAAATACAATTAGTCAAAGTTTAGAGCTTGGTTGATGAATCAGGCTTACCTGTCGAGATTTGTTTCTTCATTAATGATATTCTGTATCCAATGCAATTCAATAAAAACTCTACGCCAGAGAAGGTTGTTGAATTTCCATTAAATTGAACACTGACAGATCCTGGGGTTGAAGGGCCATCTGTTACATCAAATTTAGCCTTTAAAGATCCCAGCCCTTTTCCTTCCGAGTCTATCGAGATTTCATCGAACTTCCAGGAAATTTCTTTTTTCTCTTCATTCCTGTTTATATGAGAAAGAGTTTACAATAGAAATAGCATTAATTAGCTTTGCGGTGATAATCATTCTTTTTCTTTAGTGCAAAATCATTGTCAATAATAATCATTGATTGATTAAGTTGAAGGTTAGTTTGAAAAGTGATGAGAGGCGTGAAATTGTAAAATGATTAAGTAAAAAATATACCATGAAGCATTGGGCGTAGTTTTATGTGATTTGACCCCACCATCAACATTAACGCTAAAAGTAACATTCTTTAAAGGTTGGATTGAAGATAATGCACAGGCATTATATTTGTAGTCCACTTTCAATCCAGTGGTTGATGGTTCACATTTCCAATGAGAGACAACTTGAAGAGGGCAAAAAGTAGCCCCCCTAGCTTTTAATTGATATTTCAATATTTCTGCGTTAAAATATCGACTATTGGGTGATTGTTCACTTAGTTTCCTCAAATGATTAGTTAATCCAACCATATTCATATCGAAAGAATATGTATCTGTTTTGATACCGTTCTCGATGTTTTTATTTCTAAGAGAGGAAGAGAGGGGGAAAGAGAGAAGAAAAAGAATTATCGTTAAAAGGATTTAAAAAATTAAGAAAAGTAGGCCGAAAGAGGAAATAAAGAGATGATGGTGATAATAATGATTCAACCATCCATGGTAAAGTAAATAATACTTACTGCATCACAATATCTTTGTTCGGGATCAATCGCTCGAATCTAGAGCTATTCGTAAGTTTAAATGATAATAAGGCTGGACAAGTATTGTTAGCAAAAACCTGTAAACAGTTTAAAGAAGAGTAGAATAAAGAAGGGGAAATTAATTGAAAGAACGCGAAGAAAAAGCTGAAGAATGAGAAAAAAATAATTTTTTCAACATAAAATGTGAGCATGAGAAAGAGGAAAAGAAAGAGATGGAAATGAAAAGAGGAGAGAAAAAGATCTGTTACTTTACTTGAATAATGCCGGAAGGAAAAGCAATCTTGAGACTTCCAATAATCTGGATTTTGCACTTTGATTCATCAGAACCCTTAAAACGAGCTGAGATGCACTCTTGAATCGCTACAGCAATGGGAATCACATTTGTCAATCCAAGTGTCAATGGCGAAGGTCCTCTGGATGAGTTTACTGACACCGGAGTCATCCTTAAATCACTTGAAAGGCTACCATAACTCTTACACCGAGTTATATTGTTTGGATGAGATATAGAGGGTGACATCAAACTTCGCTTAGTAGGAGGACGTGGAATGGACATAGGTGGAGGTGTATCCATGATAGAATTACTTGATATACTTTTGGATAAACTCGACGAACCATTGTACATTCTTACCCCCTGTTGTAATGATGGCGATATTGAAAGACCTTTAACAGTTTTCTGAAGCTCGGCAACACTTGGTCCACCATTTGTCAAATTGGCCGGTTTAATTTCGAATTTAAATCTTTTCTCTTGCTTTTCATCTTCAGAGTCATCATCTGAACTTGAATAAAAATGATCATCTTCATCTTTACGGCTGGGGACATCATTTCTTATAATATAACCTTCTTCATCCACTCTGACACCATCAGGACCAATAAAAGTGCTTCCATTACTCACATCATTGGAACCATTAACAACACCGCCTCCACCACCATTATTACCACTACTGTTGAGAATTGATTTGATTTTTGTATTAATCTGTTTACATTTTGCGTTACCAAAAAAGCTCATCCTAGGGTCAAACCAGACTCAGATGAACACAAATTATATAAATTGATTTAAATTTCACCAATAAGTTGAAGGAGGAAAAGAGATGAGGTTTAGAATTAAATGAAGTAAAAATTGTTGTTTCCTCAATATTATTGTATCAACAATTGTATATCGATACTTTAAAATAATTTTTATCGATACAAATTAAACCAGTATCGATACTGAAAGATTCTGCGTCAAAAAAGGTTTGTTTAATTTTTGTTTTAATTAAAATCATTTATTTAATCAACAACTTATAACATTTAATATAATAACAAAATTAAAATCAAACTTGCAGTCGTATCTTACCATTTTCATTTCAGCTGTCATCTATTTTGACAGCTCTTGATTCTCACAAGTATCGAAACTCGGCATCGATATTGAGTATTCTGTTCCATTTTCGTTTGCTAATAATTTCCATTTTAATCAAGAAAAAGACTCAATTAAATTGAAAAATGTATGTAATCAGCTAAAACAAGCGTTAATAAAGCCAATTAAATTCCAAACTCACACGATAATCAAATTTATTGAATAGTTATTAGAGTTGAAACAACCAGTTTCAGGTAACCGCAAAACATATTTTGGTTACTAATAATATTATTGATTCGGGTTTGAATTTTAAGATTAAAGTTGAATTGTTAAATTTAAACTGCGACATAATTGTGTAACTCTCTTGAATATCCAGTATTAAAGAGACTTGTAGCTTTTTTAATTGGTACAATTGTGATTATTTGAAAATGATCGTAAAATGTCCGATTTTCAGTTTTTGGTAGAGATTACTTTATTCGTCAGTAGATGGAGATAACCGAATTGAATTTTTCAAGACTTGAATTCAAGTTGCAACAGTTAACAGTTTTTACAAATAGAAAATTTATGGTTTAAAATTCGTTGTTCAAATGATAATCTGTTTGGTTATCAGATTTTTATCATCTTTTGATAATTTGCCCAGTTACGCTTGGAACCTTTCGACATCAAAATTTGGTCACTCTGTGTGGTTGTTATAAAAAATCTACAGCTGAGTTGATTTTCTTTCAACTGACTTATTGACTCGAGAGGTTTCCTTTGGTATACATTGTGGATTTGTTTTGAATTATTTCACCAAGATTGTTTATTGTTGATGTTTCTATTATTTTCTTTGAAAGTTGGCAATTGATTCTAGAAGTAAGTAAGCCTTTATTAATTTACTTACCATTGCTCTAGGCCATTTTAAAGCCAACGCCCAGGCAATTCTTGCATTGTGAATCATTTCATTTTAATTTCTTGCTAGACTTTAGCTTAATTTGAAACTTAGTGCTTCAATCATTTTGACCTCTTGTTAATTTGAATCAGGTATTAGATGAACTGAATATAGGGCTTGAAAATCAACGATTGGTTTTGATTTTCTTGGTAATTATGACAATCTCCAATTGAAACTAAAAAAGTATTTTTTCTAATGCTGACACCATGATTCCTTCTTAATTTACAGATCAACTTAATTCAAGATGACCGAGGAAATAACGGAAAAAGTAACCAGAGAATATCCTGCCGAATATGATGAATACATGAAGGTTTTGGAGGATAAAAAAGATAAAGATAACCCAGTGAATAATGTTTCTGAAGCAAGTAAAAGTTGTCCGACTAACAATGTTGAGAAAAATAAGATGAGTGAAATGCTCAAGAAGGCTATCAAATCAGCAACTCAATACAATTTAGAATTAAATCAAGCACGGAAAGAGGAAAGGAGAGTTTCTCTGGATCTGCAAACTGATACTGTTCATTATCCCATTGGATTGGGCAAAGATAATAAGATGTTAAAGAAAAATGTAGCTGCTGGTAAATGTCTAAAAGTTGGTAAATATCCAGTTGCTACCATCCACGGACAACACCAAGATTGGTATATCAAATATTCAGCGGAAGAATTGAAATACTTTCCAATTAATACTGTTCTGTATGGACCGATTGCATCTGATGCTAAAAAATTAATCAAACCTAAAGATGGTCAAGAAGGAGAAAAATCGTCTGGAAGTGACTCTGATAGTGACTCTGATAGTGATAGTAGTTCTAGCTGTTCGCAAGAAGACAATAATCTAGAAAGATCTAACCGGGAAAATGGTCACAATGGTAATGATCCAAATAATGAAGATGGTAATAGCTGTGATAGCTGTTCGTCATCACAATCATCTTCTAGTGAGGAAGATGTGAAAACAAAAACACCTTCAACATCAAATGATAACTCCAACTCAATTAGAGGTAGTTTCCAAACTGTTTGTAAAATTTGTAAAGGTAGTGTTCAAGGTAACAGATCAAATGTTCCCGAGGAATTTGTTCATTGTTCTGATTGTGCAAATAGTGTTCATCCATCATGCCTTCAATTGACAACTGATATGGTTGACGTAATCAAGTCATATGCCTGGCAATGTACTGATTGTAAGACTTGTGTTCATTGTAATAAGCCCCATAATGAAGACAAATTGATGTTTTGCGATATGTGTGATCGAGGTTATCATACATTTTGTGTTGGATTACGTGTTATACCAACCGGTAAATGGGTTTGTAAATTGTGTGCCCAATGTGCTCAATGTGGTGCTATTAAACCCGGAGATGGACCTAAAACTAATTGGCATCATGAAACTATTAAGATAAAAAGTCCAGATGGAGAAACTTTGAGAAGGCATCAACTTTTATGCTCGAATTGTTACAAACAACGTAAAATGCGATAAATTTCGCCTGTATCATTCACGTTAATCACAAAAATCATCAAAAAACATCCGAATGTAATATTTCGATTCAACTCTGGCTTTCCATGTATAGTTTCATTATCATTACACCTATCAATTTACTTATACATGATCTGGCAGTTGTCTAAGGAAATTTTCTCAACGAAAGTCGTTTGTAATTAGCGTAGTAAAAATTCTGAACAGATTCCGAATTAGGAGTATATTTTAAGAGTTCACTTCTGCATAAATTAGTTTTGAGAAATATCAGACATGATTAAATAACAAAAGAATCTTAAATTTACGCAACAACATGAATTTTAATCTTTTTTTACAGTCGACATCAAGTCATTACACATATTAAGTGTGATATACATTAACAATCAATAAAAATTGATGGAAAAATTTCTTTGTTTTACTTCGCGCGCAAAGCATTTTCTTATTAAAATATTCCCTTTCAGAATATCAATTCAAAACGAACTTTGCTTGACAAAAATATTGCTCATCTCGAAATTGACAAGTCGAATCTTATTTCTACTCAATCCTGGAGTAGATTTGGCTTTTTAATTTTTCAGTCAATGCCAAAATGTTTATCGAAATCTGCTTGAGTAATCTTTCCTTTTTTTAATTTCTTAACCATTCTTGCATCTTCAGCGAGTTCATCAAATTCAACCTCGTTGAGGAAACGTTTTTTCTTTTTTCCTTTTAGCTTACACAATTTTATTTCAGCTTTCATCTTAGCTCTTTGTTCAGTAACCTTGATTTGATTTTTTCTGGTTACTTTATCCGTTGAACCTTGATTACCTTTACTCCTGAGCTTTTCGAGAGCTTTTTTATGACTATTGGCGATTTCCTTATCACCTGGTTCAGCTAGAAGTTTAGTTGGACATTCAGCTAATTTTTTTCTTAGCTCGGGCATAATAGGAACTTTCAATAGACCAAAACTGTTGGCTAAATCAATCCAATCCATGGATTGAAATAAAATTGAAGACATCATGTTCTTAGTTGAATAGTTTCTAATGAAAGACACAAATGCTTTCATTGAATTTTCATAAAACTCAGCATTATCACGGCAATGTTGCCTTAACCAACTAGAAATCTCATCAGCTAGCGGAAGGAGCTTCTTCTTGGGTACTTTCATTTGAGTGAAATCGATTCCTTTTTCCTGGCATAATTTGATGTAATCATCCTCATGTTGCAAGCACAATATCATCGAGTTTCCTTGAATACCGATTTGGTGACCACTACGACCAGATCTATGGATATAATCTTGAATTGTATTAGGCAAATCTACATTGATCACCCAGTCAATCTCAGGAATGTCGATACCTCGACTCATGATATCAGTACATATCAATATGGATCCGTTTTCGGAAGATTTGAATTTGTTGAAAATTTTTTGACGACGGGATTTTAATTTCCGATGTAATTTGAAAATCGTCAGTTCAGATGGCAAAAACTTTATGAGTGCTTCCGCAAAATAATCAACTTGAGCACATGTCGAGAAAAACAGGATGTATTTGAAGGTTGGATTTTTTTTAACGAAATGAACTAGAAATGGTAATTTATGAGTATTACTTTCAAGAATTACGTAGTTGTTTGATAAATAAGGAGATATTTGAAGTCCGGTTGATTTGAGAAGCGATTTTGTTCCTGAAGATAAACTATTCTCAATTTCGGAGTCACCAAGTTGAATAGCCTTTTTCTCCTTTATCTCAATTCTGATAGGATTTCTTAAGCCCAATTTTACCAGTCTACTAAGAAGTTTAGTTTGTGTTGCACTAAAAAGTCCAGTTCGTCTTTGTTTCGGTAAATAACTTAGAATTTCATTGACCTCTTTGTCAAAACCCATATCCAAAAGAACGTCAGTTTCGTCTATAACAAGCACTTGTAAATGTTTACGAAGCTTAATTCCTATTTGAGGATATTTTTCCAGAAGATCTACCATGCGTCCAGGAGTAACAACAAATATGTTTCCACCATTTTGAAGATAATTTTCGCCATCGATGATAGGATTGTTACCACCAATGAAAAGTTGTGCATTCAAAAATTCAGAGAAACTTGAGTCACTTAAAAATTCCTCCAGTACATCAAATGTTTGGGTAGATAATTCTCTTGTCGGACTTATAATGAGACCACAAATTGCATGCTTATTAAATGGTTCCTTTTCGTATTGTTTGATAAGAATATCAAGAACTGACACAATAAAAGCCAAACTTTTACCAGATCCAGTAACAGCTTCACAACAGACATCTTTAAATCCAGTGAACAATGGAATAACCGCTTTCTGAACTGGAGTCATTTGCTTGAATTTAAATTTGTTCCGGATGACATTTAATATCCTTTCGTCTACAGATAAAGTGTCCCAATCAAAATTGTCCATCTAAGAAAGAAAGCAGATATACAATAATTTTCTCTTGTTAATGTCTGTCCAGAACTAACTAAATCTTCACCACTCAAAAAAGTAGAAAGTGCAAACAAGAAAGCTTAACAAAACTAAGCAAACTTACCTTGATATGAAATATAACTACCAAAAACGGTCTTGATGGTGACAAGATAAAAGTTCACAATAAATGGCAAATAAACAGCAATAAATTACAATACTTTGACAAAAGAAAGTTAACAAATTATTTTAAATTACAAGAGTGTAACAAAATAAAAATCACATGTTTCTCATTCCAACATTTACACAGTAAACATTGGAAAGCGAAGCCCGCCATTTTCAAATCAATTTAAAAAGATAAACATTTCTATCTAATTTCCTTTATAGAAACCTGATTTGTCTCGATAAAATTATAATTAATTGATTACTTCAGAGGTTGATTAATATCCGGAAGGAAAGATATAACCAAAATGGCAAAACAAAATGGCAATAAACACACTCAAAGCTGATTTAGACATTATTTCACTCCCAGTTAATCAATCTCCCTCCCTGGTGACAACTCTTAGAGTCTTTGTATTGATTGGTGATGGAAAGAGATGATAATTTGGTGTGAATATATTTTTTATTCCTCTTTCTCTTATAAATGGGAACACAAAGTGAGTAAAGAAAGGGTAAGTTAACTGAGCAATGTTAAATGTACAAGCATACCAATAGACTTTCAATCTTGTCATCTTCATCTTCCTCTTTACCAGATCTATGTTTTGAGTGTTCAAAAAACGAGATATTTACATTCATAGATATGTTTATCATCTTATAAGATTTTATGAGTATTCAAATGTATCCAAATTAGTGTAAAAGCCAAAACAATGTTAACCATATGTTTGATTCTTAACCAAGTGACTTCCAAAATTAATGTATGTTTGGTTAAACAATGAAACAGTGACAATCACACAATTGTTTCAATTGATATTGACCGTTAAACGCAACAAAAAAATCATTATTCACAAGGTAAACCGATTACCAGATTTGGGTTTTTATTGGTTTAAGTGATCATCCTTTACAATTCTGTATTGTCTTCATGTGTAACAATTAAATGGATTACTTCAAATGTTTTTGTACAAGACAACTGCTATTATTATTTGTACGAAATTTCCTAGTCGTCTGTCTTCAAGGTCCTCATGTTTGTTCAAAGACGAAGGAGTGAGTATTCATTAATTTTTGCTTTCATTAATATTTCCTATTATTTAAATTGAATTAACAGCTTCATCACCCATTTAACTTACCCAAAAACCAGAAACAACACCATTCCTATCTCTGGTTGATCAAAAAGAGATCTCTTGCAAATGAAATCATCTTTCAACCTAAACACTCCATAATCAATTTAGGTTTAGATTTCCTCGTTTCTCTAATCATTTTAAGGCATCTCTCGTTTAATTATTATAATAGTTAAACTATGATTATGTTCATAAACTCATTTAATGATCAAATTGTTTTTCATATTGTACAGTATCAATCAACCTGTTAACATATCAAGTACCATCCAGATAGATCAACAATCTTACACTTGGTGTTTACAATTTCCTCCAATCTGTCTTCAAAATAGGTAAGCTAAATCCGTTGTAATTTAAACAATTATTATATATTTCTGATTTTATAACAGCTAAAGTTCAACTTAAATCAGAAGCTATTGCATCTATAGTTCCTATTCATTACCCATGTTATTGTGTTTTGTTACCAGTGACTTTGTGTACAATGTTGTTGGCCTTTAAATGCTGAGAATTTGGTGATGAATTCTCAGAATATATAGACTCCATTTTATCAATAAAATGTGTATACAATGTATGAGAATGTGTAAAGTATTATTGGTTGATTCACTGTTGCTATGTGAATTATAAATTTTTGTTTCCCCTTTCTGTTATTTTTACTCCTTTTTTCAATTGTAACCCAATTTTACTCCTTTCACTTTGTTTACCTTTTAACTTTCAACTTTCACTCCATCTCACCTTTTCACCAGTCTCCAAAATTACCTTCTCCTGGTTAGTTATCAACATAGCTATATAAATCAACAAACAACCAGATTTATTCATAGGATTGTCTGGTTCAATGTTTTGATTTCTGTTCGCACCAATGGTGTCAACATTATCCATCATTATAATTATTGTGAAACCTTGAATGACCCATGCTCCTGCAAACCATTTATTATCTGTCTAATTTATTTCTGTTGTTTGTCCATTATAATTTTCACTGACCTTTGGTTAACAATTATTACACCACTCAGTGCAGGGTAACCACTAGGTTACCTTAATGGTTATTTCTTATACACTGCACTGGTTACCTGCACTGGTTACCGGCACAGTTTCTTATCAAATCATAGATTAAATTATTGGTAAAACAAAGATAATAAGAAAATCAATTTTAAAAATTGAATTAAATTGAATCACTCTCAACAAGCTTAGGGTCACAGCTTAGTCTAGCTGAATCAACATCATTTTTCACTTTACGAATCATATGGAAATTCATATTTAACGACTAATTAATTAGTAATTTAATTTAATAAGAAAGAGCAAATTTACTGGTCAAAAAATGAAAAAAAATCTGAAATTAGTTTAGTTCATTTTTGTGATTTTTTCATTTTTTGCTTCAATTTTGTGTTGGCTATCTTTTACTTTCGTAGTGTAAATATTTTAAACCACTATCACTCGAAGTTATGAGATAAAACCCTCGGGCTCCGCCCTCGTGTTTAATTCTCATAACTTCTCGTGGCAGTGGTTTAATCTATTCATATTACATTAACATTACAACCTTTTTACTTTTACAAAAAACGGTTTTCACTTTAATGGATCCAAAAACTGAAAGCATTAAAAGTGTAATATGACAACCTTCAATCAATCAATGAATTTAACATCGTACTGCTGTAAGAGATTGTAATTTAGATCAATCCTTCAATATCAAATTACATTTTAATTATTTGCAGCAATTATCTTTTTCAAAAGCATCTCGACAGTTTAATAAAAATTGGTGAATGTAATAAAGATTTTTGCTTAAATTCAATTTTCTCTTTATTGATTGAATGGCTTCATATTCAATGTAAATAGTAAATTGGCAATTTGATAGATTTGGATTGTTATTAGATACATCTTGATATTTTAATATTGATATATCAAATGAACAATCAGTTTTATTTATTGATATTTCTTGTTGAACCAATTTTCTTGTTACCATCAACTGTAATACCTAAAGTCTGTTCATTGTCTAGATCATTGTTATTCACCTGAATATGATTAGTTTTCCCAGAACTGGTGCATTTTATCCTCGAAATGAAACAATTGATCAACAAAAGCAACAATAGCTAATTGTTATGCTTTGAGTAAATATCATTAGACAGCTTTGAATTGTAAATCAATGTGAATTAACCGAGGTTTGGTTGATAATGTAACCCATTCTGAATCTATTAGTAAAAAGACATTAAATCCGAGAAAGTAAATTACAAATAAGCAAATCAATTGTGACTAGTTGATTACAAATGTATGATCAATCTAATTAAATCAACTCGGCTTCACCTTTTAATCAGATAATGTTGCATGATCCAAATTTCATACCATTAAATGTTGATATTGCGTGTAAATTGTTCAGCTAGTTAAATTTGCAATAATGAATATTTAAATTGTACAAATCAGAAATATAAAAAGGTAATCAATTGTTACTTTTATTTGTGTTAATTTAATTTTTCCTGTTCCTTTACCAGGACTTCATATCAAAAGGTTGTCAAAACAAAATGGGAAACCAAAAAGATAACTATTAATGTTTGCTGTGATGGATTCAAGGAAATTGATGATCAATGTTATCGTATGTAATTTAATTATTTTAAATTAACTGAATTGTGTAATGTTTACAGTGTAATGTAATGAAATACATTGTATAAATTGAATATCTGTAGCATTCTCGATGACACTTGACTCTTGTTCTTATTTTGTTATTAGCTGTTGAATCAAATGAATTTATCCTTCCATATGAACCTGTTTCTTACGATCGTGATTATTTACTCGAACAACGTAGAAGCCATCGATCAAAAAGATCAGCACCAACAAATGTGATTAAGGATAATCTTGGATCAATGGATAGTTTTTTTAACTCTATTTGGAGTCAATCACATTCACAATCAACAGAGAATTATATTTTGATAAATTTTACTGCTTATAATCGCCTATTTGATCTAAAATTAACTCTTGATAATACTCTATTCTCGCCTGAAACATTATTTGAATCAACGAGAAGAGGTAAATTTCATTATGATACTTCAAATGCCTTAATCGGAGCTCTCAGTGGTAAGTTACAATCTAATAATTAACCAACCATTGTTTACCTAAAATGAATCTTTGTTAAATTGTGAACGGTAAACATTTGACTAATATTTAAGTAATCAATTCTTGGATGTAAAGGCTTAAGATTAGCGTAAACATGTGGATTAATTTGTTGATGAAAAAGTGTCTCTGCTTTTGATTGGATGTTTTAGGTAATCTTGTGTGTTAATTAAAAAGTTTGCGTTTTAATCAACCAGATGACATGACTATCGATCTGCAAGCGGGAATTGCTTCATCAATTAGTGTGCATTTGTTTACAGTTAATGTGTTGTTTGTAAATACAATTTGTAATTTATTGATTGACATAAATCAATTATTTTATTTTGCTCTTAAATAGATGTAAATGATTCTCATGTGGAAGGAGTAATCACCAATGATGGCCTCTTTGATGGATTCATCCGTACAAAAGCAGAGGAATTTTACATTGAACCAGCTTCACGTTACTCGAATCTCAATTCCAGCCAATTCCACACCATTATCTACCGAGTTCCGGATGCATTATTATTAACCTTTAACTCATCCAAATGTTTCAATTCAACTTCATCTCCATCCTCGTCTTCATTGCCTCTTCCAGGAAACTCTTGTTTACCTTCCGTTTTGAAATCTATTACTCTTGATGTTGGTGATAGTTCAAATTACACAAAACTTGAAGAAATATCGAATCAAACTAACTATAATCGTCTACGACGTGATATTGGAAATTCTCACAGTTCCTCACCTTCATCAGTGGACCAGTCATCACCATCTTCACTCCCATCATCTTCATCTCCATCTAATTTAAAGCTCAAACAAACATATTGGCGTGATTTTGATTCCCTCAATTATGAAGGTGATACAGAAGCCTACGGAATACGTGCTGTTCAAAGAGCTCATTGGCCTGAGGAAAGACCTGAAAGACATTTTGTTATTGATCCTAAAAAGACAACTTGTATGCTATATCTACAAGCCGATCATTTATTTTATGAAAAATTGGGAAGTGAAGAAGCCTGTATTGAAACAATGACCCGTCATGTACAAAAAGTTAACAATATTTATCGATCAACAGGTAAAAATTAATCTAATTATTAGTTATTTATTCGTGATCTAATCTTTTTTTATATTCTTTGGCAGATTTTAATCAGGATGGCAAATCAGATAATATTTCCTTTCTTATAAAAAGAATAAAAGTTCACACTACTGAAGCCCTTAAAGATCCAGTTTATCGTTATAAAGGAACATATGGAGTTGAAAAATATCTGGAACTTTTCTCCGAAGAAGATTATGATGCTTTTTGTTTAGCTTACATGTTTACATATAGAGATTTTGAAGGTGGAACCTTGGGTCTTGCTTGGACTGGTGATCTTAAAAATGCTGGTGGAGTTTGTGAAAAAAATGGAGTAAGTTAATTATCATTCTTCAACCATTTTTAATACCTATGTCATTATAATTCACCAATCATTAATTTTTTCATTTTCTTTTACTCAGCATTATCGAGGAAGCCTGAAAAGTCTTAATACTGGAATAGTTACACTTCTCAATTATGGCAAACATGTTCCACCCATAGTAAGTCATGTAACATTAGCTCATGAAATTGGACACAACTTTGGATCACCGGTAATTACATTAATCTTTTATAATACAATGAAATGAATTAATTTTGTTTCATCAATTTATTCAAATTAACCTTTTCTTTCCTAATTCTTTTAACCTTTTCATTAGCATGATCCTGAAAATGAAGGAAGTTGTACTCCTGGAGGAGAAGATGGCAATTATATCATGTTTGCTCGAGCAACTTCTGGAGACAAACGCAACAACAATCATTTCTCTCCTTGTAGTCTGAAAAGTATCAATGCTGTTCTTAATACTAAAGCAAGAAGTTCAAAAGGCTGTTTTCAAGGTAAAAATCACTTTAACCAATGTAATCTTTCCATGGTGACAGCGATGATCTTAGTTAACCATAGTAAAACAATTAAGGCACCTACAGAGTAAAGCTGTGTATAAGACTGTAGAGGTAATGGAAAACAATCATTGAGAATCGTTGTTTTATTTGTTGATTGGACAATATTAATCCCAGTAGGTTTGAGTCGTTTTGATTGATTGTTAATTCCATTTTTATTTGCTTGGTTAACAAATTTTAATCGAAAGAAGCACAACAAGAAAGTATCTAAACCCCATTACAATGCAGTAGGCTTTATTTATCGTTAAATTTATTGCTCAAACAAAGTAAATACTTTGATGAAAACCTTTCTTTTATAGTAACAACCAAAAATCGTATCAAAATTTATGGGTTTTACATTTTATTTATGGTTACCTTCATTATTTTTTCTTTTACTTCTGATTATTATTCTTATTCATGTTCTTGTTATTATTTTTATTTCCTTATCAATTCCCAACAGAACCCCAAGAATCTATCTGTGGTAATGAGGTTGTTGAACCAGGGGAGGAATGTGATTGTGGCTGGGCTGAAGATTGTACAGAAAGCTGTTGTTTCCCAATGCAATCAAATCCACCCAAAAACGAGATTCCATGTCGCCTTAGACCAAATGTTATTTGCAGGTAATGTTAACTTTTTTATTGGTGAAAAGATTTGTCATGATAAATTTTCAATCTAATCCTGAAACTAATTTGTTTTTCGTCAAATCTGTTTACAGTCCAAGTCAGGGTCCATGTTGTGCCCATGATTGTCGCCTTACAGTTGGTAACAAATGCCGTGATGATAATGGTTGCCGGACAGCAAGCTATTGCAAATATCCTTTTCATACAAATGTTTATTATTTATTCTCAAAATTAATTTGCATGAATACATTTGCATGTTTGAACTGAGTTCATACCTTTTATGTTTATCCATTTTAACTGAGGTGAGTATTGACATTGTAGTGTGTAACTCAGTTCAATTTATATAATTTTGATCAAAAATATAAATTCCTTAACTGAGAAACACTGGTCAAGGTCCAAGTTGTCCGCCATCAACGTTTGTCCCTAACAAAACAGTCTGTAACCAAGAATCAGTTTGTTTTATGGGGGTAAGTTCAAGTAAAATTATTGAATCTACTGTGAAATTAAAAAATTATCCTTTTAAATTATTCCCTAGGAATGCACTGGATCGATATGTATTGCTTATGGATTAGAATCATGCCAATGTAAACGAAAATTTGATGAACCCGACACTAAACTGTGTGAATTGTGCTGTCGATTTCCTGGAGATGATGCTACCTGCAAGTAAGTGGCAAACAATTTGGACATTTATCAAAAATTGTTTTTACAATACCTTTATTATAAAAATGAAATTCATTTGACTAATGAATAGTAATTTGAGAGAAGATTAATTTAAACCCTCATTCATCTTATTCAGATCATCATTCGAATGGAACACTGCCCCTCTGGATGTGCCTGACCTTTACTCTAAACCTGGTACACCTTGTAATAATTATAATGGATACTGTGATATCTTTCAACAATGTCGTGAAGTTGACCCATCAGGACCTTTAGCAACATTGCGACGTTTCTTACTTTCCAACGAGTCTATGGCTTCCCTCAAGCGTTGGTTAAACGAACAATGGATTTGTGTTATTATTTTATGCATAATGGCTTTGCTAATTGTTGTGAGTTTTGTCCTTCTAAATTGTTATCAAATTGTATATTTATTTCATTGTAATTTAAATCATTTTTTTCTTGGTTTTGTAGTTTCTTTTGGTCAAGGTATTCGAGAAACGTAATTATGAATTACCGAAAAGTGAATTATTCGAAGCAAATTGTCTAGATATATCATCATCTGCTTCATCCGCTGTTTCGGTTTTTGCTCGACATCGACATAATTCATCTTCATCTTCTGCATCGTCTTCCAGACCAGCAATGGTTCGTAATCATGGTAACCTTGTCAGAACCAGTTTAGCCTTTGGACACCAACTGAGTTACCATCAAAATGATCACAATGAGTTTCACTGTCATCCTCTTGGTTTAACTGGAAATGGCTGGGTTTAATGAAATTACATTATCAAAATCAAACAAGTAATCAACTTAACACTTAAAGGATACTATAAATAAGATTATTATTATTAATAATATCTATTGGCAGTTTGTGGATACAAAGTGCCCACCCAACTGGTCCCCATTTCACTCAGATCTCATTGCCATAACCTTGTTATTTATTATACATAAACGATACTCTTTTTCTGTCTCACGGTTAATGTACATTGAAAATGTGTATCCAGAAAAAAATCAGTTGTTGAATAAATTGAATAATTTATGCATAATGGCTTTGCTAATTGTTGTGAGTTTTGACGTTCTAAATTTCATTGCAATTTGAAATCATGAATCATGCTGATTGTAGAGAAGAATACTTGTTTAAACTAATAATGAATGCAGTTTCCATTTATTTTGATGAAAAATTGTGCCAACTAGATTAAATCAGTTGGCAACTAAAAGATCGCATTTTTATCTTTTATCGATTATTCATTTATGAGTTTATTTGTGAAAAAAATCTAACTGAAGTGACTAATATTTTCAGAAAACTACTTACTTCCTTTTATTTACTTACGGTACTTCATACTAGAGATGGGCGATTTTCGATCACAGGGGTGATCGATCTTTTCGATCGATCATTTTACTAAGTCGATCGATCTCTTAATCTAGCGATAAATATCGATCTGAAATTTTTCGATATTTGAGCTTCTTTTCACTTTTTTTTGGAGATGTTCAGCGGTTAGCTTTTCGTCTCAGTATTTCACGGATGACCATCAGAATCTTTCCAGTAATCTCTCCCCAAGAACAGTTGTTACGTGAAACAATACGCGAGTTACCAGTGGACAATAGTTGCTCTGCAAGATCATCATTCTGGGTGAATTTCAGCCAATTAGCCCTGAAAGCAGTATCAATTTTGTAGAGGTTGTACCAATTATCGTCAAAGTCTTCTTCTGGTACGAAACCAGCTCTTAAAGGATTGTCAGCAACTCTCACGGTTTCTGCCAATCTGGGATTATTCATTAACAAACTTTTTTCACTTTGATAATAGCTTTGAGCAGAGTTGCAAGGCAGTCCCTGGCCTTCTCCCGTTTTGTTTACTATTATTTGGCCAGCAAAACTGTATGCATAATCAAGGGGATGACCAGGTCTTACTAAAATCGTTTTAGAGTCATCTTCAGAAACGTCGCATTCCTGTAGCCACAGATTCAATGTATCCTCGTCCAATGTATCATCATTTTCACCATCGTACGCGTCCATTTTTGCTGAAACTGTAATAACAAACACCAACAACAAAAATAACACCAAATAGGTAAAATGGGTATAAAATTAACTTATCCTTTTTAACTAAACCCTGACTACTAGTGTATACTTATTCGATGTTGAGAGTTTAAAACTGTCGTGTCTATATACTTCCAGTTTCTCATTCACTCTTTTTATACCAACTTCACGCCTTCAAGTCAAGAGTTCTCGGTCTATCAGAAAATTTCACTCATATTCACCAATATGGGTTGGGAAAGTTACATTTAATCATAATGAGAATCATCATATGAGAATCAGAATCATATGCAGATTCCATCTATTCTCGATCTTTCTCTTTCTTTCCAAGGTAGGTAAGTGTTATTTTCGTGGTCTTTTCTTAATCAAAGAAGAATGCCGAGGAAAGTTATAATTTTCATAAATCTACAGACAAGATTTTTCATTGAGCATAAAGCGTTCATACTCACATACGATTTTTTGCATTATACAATCACCTGTAACGACATTATGCCTAATATTCTCTATAAGTTTTTTTCTAGTTGAAGTGGTGCAGATGAAATCTTTTTTAATGGTAGATAAACTAATAAGTATCATTTCTAATAATAATTTAATAATTATCGATTATCAATTTACCAATAAAATTGTATTGCTTATGTTGCCAAGAGGATGATAGTGAAATTCATTGTGATCATTTTGATGGTAACTCAGTTGGTGTCCAAAGGCTAAACTGAATCTGACAAGGTTACCATGATTATGAACCATTGCTGGTCTGGAAGACGATGCAGAAGATGAAGATGAAGATGAATTATGCCGATGTCGAGCAAATACCGAAACAGCGGATGAAGCAGATGATGATATATCTAAACAATTTGCTTCAAATGTTCAAATTGATTGATGGAAGTCTTTTCAAGGAAATCAATCATTACTATACCACCAAAGATCAGATAGTTACTTTTGAATTTGACCATGGAACACGTAGTCACAAAGTGATTACCTACGACTCTGCTCAAAATCTTTATATGAGTAAGAGACGCGGATTTTTGTGTGGACCTGAGAAGGAAGAGTAGGCTCGACGCTCTTCTGACCCTTTTACATCTGGTATGGCGGACACACACAACTTCGTGAATAGAGCAGATAAATGGTACACAGTTGATATTGATTTGGCCTTTAAGTGTAATTGGCTGAAATTCAAGCAGAATGAACATTTTGCTGACGAACTACTGGTAAAAAATCTATCTAGTCTGTTCAAGGAAAGCTAAAGGGGATAAAGACTGGCCAGGACTGAATGTTTTACTGAAGTTAAACAACATTTTACACTTTTGTTGCTTAAACTAAAGTTAGATAAAGTTTATTGCTATAGCTAGTAAATTATTAGTGAAAAGTTTCCAGTTTAACTAGCACATCTTTGCTGACTCTTGTTGAGCAAAATTTACGGAGGCCTTTCAGTTTTTAGATTTTAGCAAATTATTATCAAATTCAAAAAATTCTAACACTTTTTGGATGTGCCTGACCTTTACTCTAAACCTGGTACACCTTGTAATAATTATAATGGATACTGTGATATCTTTCAACAATGTCGTAAAGTTGACTCATCAGGACCTTTAGCAACATTGCGACGTTTCTTACTTTCTAACGAGGCTATGGCTTCCATCTAATGGTGGTTAAACGAACGATGGATTTGCTAATTGTTGTGAGTGTTGTAGTTATGAATTGCTATCAAGTTGTATTAATTAAGTTATCATTAAAATGATCACATTGAATTGTACTGTCATCCTCTTGCTAATTGTAAACAATGAAAGAATTGAAACAAAGCTTTTGCGCAAATTGCTCATAAAAGGTTATTTCGGGCATGATTCATTTTTATTGACTGTATTTTTAACCAATTTTATTATCTTTGATTATACAGTACAATACCCGGTTAAAGCAATTTTTTTGTGTTCCGTTTAAAGCAATTTTCACAGTCGCCATCTATGATTTTTTACAAATTGACAAATTTTATATAATCCTTTCATTACCTAAATCTTAAGCACTGTCAGTTTCTGAAAGTCATTATCACTAGATGGAGACTTAGAAAAAAAAATTGCTTTAACCGGGTATTGTACTGTATCTTATTATACATATCATTATCTATTAGGGAAAACAGCTATGCTCTTTGTATTAGATTGCCCATTACCCTTGAAATTCGTCGCCATAACTTTGTTTTTAAAAATAACTTTTCATGTCAGTCAATGTTTACTCAATAATTTCATGTTATTTCATTTTTACCCTGGTATTAAATAAAAAATACTCATTCTAATTGTTAAATAAACTTAATTCTATACTTGATAATATATTTGTGGTCTATGAAAGAGATGTCAGATGCATTGGATGTACAGTGAGATCCCAGATAATGAGAGTACTGTGGAATAGCTTATTTTGACTATTCATCGGGCAGCTTATTTCATGATTTGCAATCTCCCTTAATAGATCGAATTTTATCGAAAATGTTAATTTAAAATGATTTCGTGAGTTTTTTGATTAATATTTTACGAAAGAAATTCGAATCAAATCAATTGAAAATTAAAGAAATCAAAATGAAATTTGATGAAATTCAAATTGAATTAACTCCTCCTTAATTAGGGATCGTTGATAAATTTATCTCATTATGTGGGACTCTCATATCTGGGATCTTATGTAGATGATTTTTTATTATAATCACTTTATTTAATCAGATATTTTAACCCCTTTCTATTTAAGGCGTTTCCAATAATCATCCTTTCATCAAAAACAAGTACCTAACTACACGGTGATCGGAAAGTTTCTGGTGTGTGGGGTGGAGCCATTTCTGCGTAGAAGAGCATCGGTGAATGCAACAGCAAATCAGACAGTGTCTTTGCGCGTAGAAGGGGAAAAAGCCCCTCAAACCAGAAACTTTCCGATCACCCCGTACGCCTCTGCTAGTCACCTTTATTTTGCTGAGAGAGTCAGGATATTGTGCCCGGATAAACCCAAATTAGCCGAAAAGGTGAGATTATCTAACACACCTTGCGAGGATTCATTTGTTGCAACCAAAGACTTCGTGAAGAACCTAGGTAAACTGAATGAATGCAGATTTGATTTGGCTTTTAAGTGTAATTAGCTTAAATTCACCCGAAATGAATGTCTTGCAGATGAATTATTGCAGACTGGGAACCGTCCTATTATTTTTCCACGAACTGATAATTACTCCATAATGGCTGCAAAAATCTTGATGATTATCCGTGAAGATCTAACAAACTATGAAAGCTTTAATGATTTGGATGAAGTTAATCAATAAAACAAATGACTTTGAGATATTTCTTACTTGCATAATGCAATCATAAACTAATTCAATGCAAACCGTTGTGTATTCAGAAGAACATCAGTTGATTATATCAAATTGTTGAATAATAAAAAAGCAACTTTGCTAAATCAATAATTTAAAAAATTGTTTAAATTTGTGTTCATGGTGGACTCGTTCAATATTTCAACAGTGTACTTTGATGAAGGTTCGCTAAATGAGTTGTTTAGTAAATTGAACATCGAAAGATCCAACACATCAAACATTGCAGAAACATATCAACCGATCTTCAATCATTACTATACCACCAAAGATCAGATAGTTACTTTTGAATTTGACCATGGAACACGTAGTCACAAAGTGATTACCTACGACTCTGAGGAGGCTAAGAGGAGGCTCGCCTTTCTTCCGACACTTTTAAATCAGGTAAGGCGCCAACAAACGAATTCGTGAATAGAGCAGATGAATGGTACACAATTGATGTTGATTTGGCCTTTAAGTGTAATTGGCTGAAATTCAGGCAGAATAAACATTTTGCTGACAAACTACTGGAAACTGAAAGAAAATTTATTGTCCTTCCAAGTGCTGATACAGGGGGTAAAGACTGACCAGTTATCACGGCAAAGATCCTGATGATCATCCGTGAAGATCTAAGACGACGAGCTGAGCGACAAAATTAAAGGTCTTCATTAGCTTGAAACTTATCACAGCAAGAATTCTTTAAACAACATCAAC